CCCAGAGGCACTGCCCTGCTGAGCCACATCACCCACCTGCTTGGTCAATTGATTGATTGGCTGGGTCTTGCTAAGTTGCCCAGGCTGGCCTTGAATTTACAGTCCTCTTTCCTAGGCCTCCTGAGCAGCTGGGACTTCAAGAAATAGATTTATGAAGCCCCTGATTAGAAGCCCTGTGTAAGGTCATTTCCTGTGAGGGAAAGTTAGCAGCGTCCCTCTTTCTAGAACCTGTTGGAGGGATGGGAAGCATCTCCTTAGGGCCTTTCCCCACCCAGTCTCACCGGGGACATTTAGCCCCCCACTGGCCTCTGGCCTGGCCAACTGCAGCTTAATAGGAAGCTCCGATAAGCTTGTTTCTCTTCTTTCAAACCTTGGTTAAAACTTCGTAAATAAAACCATCTTAAAGCTCATTTCTTCCCCAGACGGGTCGTGTAGCAGCTGCAGCATGCGGGTTTGCACATGGCAGCTGCCCTTCTTCACAGACCTGCATTCCCTGGGCTGGTCTCTGGCAAACACTGGCCGTCACCAGAGGTTGCAGTAGTGGTCCTCAACATTCCTCTTCGTACAGCTCCTGACAGAATTTCTAAAATTACAGATATTACTGACATCTAAGCTTAAAAAATCATTTCAAACAGTTGCAAAGTAGGTGTTTTCCAGGGTGTTAAAAATACTGACATTTGTAAATGAAACTTATATATGTTTCTATAAACGATACCTGCCATCATTATTCATGTAGTAAACAACCTTTCAATAGAAGTTGGATTTCTTTCCCTTTTGTAGTGCTGGGGGTCAGACCCAAAGACAAGTTCATACAAGGCACAGTGCTCTACTGCTGAGCTACATGTACATATTTTATGTCACTATTTTCTCTGTTTTTTTCCCCTCCATATTTCACCTAGCACAATATTTTGAGGTTTAAGTTCATTGATTGATCCTCCTATTACTCATATCTTCAAGGACAATAAAATGAATATAGGACAGAATTTAAATTTTTAGAAGTCCAGTGGCTGTGAGCTTCTGTTCTATACTCTTTAGGATTGATTGATTGATTGAACATTATAATTAGTGTAGTCAACAATCCTGCCTTAGTTACTTTTCTCCTCGCTGAGACAACATGCCTGACACCTAGAGTTAAAGGAGGAAAGGCTTTTTTGGCTCACAGTTTGTAGCCAAAACTTGGGCTGGCTCCAAGGCAGGGTGGCAGGGAAGACAGGCATCGCAGAGGAGAAACAGTTCAATGGTGGGCAGACAACAGCAAAAGCAAACAAGCAAAGGTCAAGACAAGCTCCTTCTATCTCTTATATTGTATCCAGAATACCGGGGATTAGGGCAGTGGACTGATTTAATAATCACACACCCTTAATCCTAGCATTGTACCATGTAACCAATCACACACTTGATTCAGCCACCTCTGTAAAAGCCCCACCTATGACTGCATGAGGCTTTGAGGCGACATCCACATGCAAGCCGTGACAAACTCAAACAACTCAGATGTTACTGAATTGGGCATTAACTTTATTTCTTGGTGATATGGCCGGAACATGTTTTGCTGATAGGTTCTGTTTTCACTGATGAACATTGCATATTGCTGGAAAGAAATAGGGTTTAATATAAATTATGTTCCTATTAGGTCAACTTTGTTCACATAAAAAAGTAGAAAAGATGAAAGCATTATCTTGTACCAGTGATCCTCAACTTTAGGCCAAAAAAATCACATGCGGATTCTTCAGCCATAGTCTCTAGTGACATTCTCGGTTATTTTGAATTTAAATAAACATCTTATCTCCCTAATGGATTTATTGCTCATTCATTGGAGACCCTGACTTTCTTAATAGAGGCAGCAGTATTTGTAATTACCCTTGTTGGGTTCCCTGGAGGTTTTATCGCAGTGATATACAGTTTAGTGTGGGTGAGCACTAGGCCCCTGGGTGAATTGGGACAAGGGTGGCACCTGCCCAGCCCAAGCAGGTAGCTCTAGGAGAGCAAATGAGGGAAGGCTGGGGGTCTCAAAATGTATTCCCTTCAAGCCATCTGTGTCCACATGGTCCACAGAGAGTCTTTGTGTATATTTGGGGACTGAACCTGCAATCTGAAAACTAGCGTTTGGTACAAAGACATTAAAGTAGGAACTGGGAGATGTGATTCCCCAGGGCTGGCTGAGCCAGGCCAGCCCCTCACCTCCGGTCTGTGGAGGGCTCTGGCCCATGGATGTCCCTGGGCTGCCACAGCTGCACCCCCCGCCAGTCTTCCTGGGTCCAGGGCTCTATTCTTTCGGCTGATGGAAATAAGAATTTTAAGTCTGGCCTGTATGTAGACCTGGTATTCATTGCCTAAATAAACTTGGCATCACAAGATGAAAATGCCAGTGTCATTTTTAAAGGTCAGATGACAGTTTGGGGATATTTTGGCGACTTTGAAAAGTTCCTCAGCTACATCTGTTCACCCTGCAAGAGTGTTAGAATGTCCTTGGGAAAGCTTTTTCTGTCCGGGGAGCAGTGTCCTACTTTGCAGAAATGCTCTGTCACACAAGGCAGCAGAGCGAGTGTGGGGTCTCAGGCCCTCTTATTTTCTTTAATTGGAAAAAAATTTTTAATTATATTCATTTTTCTTATTTAACACAATTATTTGCCTATTACCTTTCCTTCTTGGTGTACTATATAAGACTGATTTTGTGGGTTTTACCATTCCTGGTGTTGCCTTTCCTTTGTTTTAGGATTTAAGAAAGCAGGTGGTTACAAACTTGGGTTAGCAAGGATTATTTTTATGGGGGATGATTTGGGGTTTTACAGCAACCCAGGGCATTCCTCTGCCCTGGAGATGGAGACATGGGTGTTCTCTTGTTTGGCTCTTGTAAATCTGATGACATTTAAAAGTACATGCCTATTCTTGTTTTTGTTACCCTCCCCCTGCACAAGAAAAGTGGGGTGTGTGTGTGTGTGTGTGTGTGTGTTGGGGGAAAAGTGTTCCTATTTTTTTAATTGTCTTGGTAATACATACATTGACTACCTTATATTTACCCTGATCAGCCCTAAAGTGGTCAAATTTTGTACACCTTGGCCAATGCTGGTTTTTGGATAGTAGTCACCGGAAATATATGAAATGAAATGTCTTCCACCTGAAGCCTGAAGGTGTGGCGTGGTTTTGCATTTCCCTAATGATAGAGATGTTGAGCACTGCTTACATGCTTATTGGCCTTTGGGAGAAACATCTACTCAAATCCTTTTGCCAGCTTTTGAATTGGCTTATTTTTTATTGAGTTTTAGGTGTTCTTTACTCTGGATATGAATCCTGTATTAGATGTGAATGGCATATCTGGAGATATTTTCTCCAGGTCTCAGGTTGCCTTGTTAGTTTAGAATGTTGTGTTGATGACAGTATCCTTTGAACAAAAGTTTTAAAATTTGATATTCAGTTTATTTTTTCTGTGGAACTTTGGTGTCATATCCAAGAAATCATGCCAAATCCAATGTCGTGAAGCTTCTCTGTGCACTTTTCTAATAGTTATATAGTTTTAGCCCTTTCTTCATGGTATAAAATCAGGGTTCAGCTTCACCCTTCTGCATATGGATAGTCAAGTTTTCCCAGCAGCACTTATTAAAAAAGATTCTTTACCATTCAGTTTTTTTGTTTTGTTGTTGTTGTTGTTGTTTTTTGGTACTGGGGATCAAACTCATGCCCTTGTGCTTGCAAGGCAGGCAGTGGAACCACTGAGCCAAATCCCTGGCCCCCCATTCAGTGATTTTAGTGAAAGGATTTGACCTTGTCAAAAACAACTGTAGATGTGACTGTTTATTTCTGAGCTCTCTTCCATTCCATTCCATGGTCTGTCTCTGTGTGTCTGTCTTTGTGCACTACACTGTTTTCATTAATATAGCTTTGTTTTGGAATCATAAAGTACGAGTCTTCCAGCTTTGTTGTTTTTCTGGATAGCTTTGGTTATTTAGGAGTCCTTGAGGTTCCATATGAATTTCAGAATTTATTATCATATTTATGCAAAATGGTCATTAGGGTTTTGGTGGGAACTGCACTGAATCTGTAGATTCCTTTGGGTAGAATTGACTTTTTTTTTTTTTTTTTTTTGGCACCAGGGATCAAGCTCAGGACCTTGTGCTTGTAAGGCAGGTGGCATTAACAATATCAAGTCTTCCGATCTGTGAACTTGGGATGTTGTTCTGTTTATTTATAGAACTTCTTTTAGCAGTGTTTCATCATTTTAAGTATGCACTTTTTTTCCTCGGTTAAGTTTATTTGTAAGTATTCTTTTTGATGCTCTCTGATAGCTTTTAATAAGTCGACTTGCTCTCTATCCTATATCTAAAAATTAGCGTTATATGTCAATTACTAATGGAATTGAAAAATACGGGATTGAGAGAGTTTAGTACATACAACATAAACAGATCTTTAAAATATGGCCTAGCATGGAAAAATGGAAAAATACTTCACAGTGCCATTATGTACATTTAAAACACAAAAGTGTTACACTTTTCACAAGGACACACAAGTGAAATCAGGGATTTCTGAGTTGTGTTCTGCAGAATAGTGGTACTGTATCTGGTGAGATGTTTCTAAGCGTGACTTTAAATGACTTGATTCTTGTTACTCTCAGTCTTCAGGGCTATTCTGAAACCTGTATCAAAGATTAAATTTCTAATTTCTGCAACGCAGAAGAGAGAGCACGTTCTATTCCAGGCTTGGGTGTAGTTGTTTTTCCTAGAAAGGTTGGGATACTGTATTTTGATCCTTAAACATGTAAGGAAAGGATTTCCGCTGATGCCCTGGTGACGACAGCTCTCGGTGTCTGAGCCAAGGTTGGAGAATCTGCCCAGAGTAGCCCATGCTGATGTTGGTGAATGATGCACATGACGGTGAGGACGCAGGCGTGATGTGGCACTTCTTCATGCTGCAGGTCCATAGTACACGTGTTACCTCACTTAATCTGCAAAACGACCGTATGAGACAGTGCTGTGATGTGGGACACCCGTCTGCACCGTGGACTGGGGCAGACGGAGCGTCAGTGACTCACCTGAGGCCGTGCCGCTGTTGAGTGGAGAGGCTGAGATTTGGATGCTAAGGGTCAGGTTAACAGATTTAGCTTTTCACTGTGCTTCTTCCTTATAGTCCGTCTCTAATTTGTTGATTTTCTTTTCTGTTTTTGTTTTTTTCCTTTAGTTTGCTTCTCTTCTGTTGATTGATAAGGAACTGAGGATTGAAACCGGGGCCTTTGCACTGAGCTACATCCCCAGCTCTCTTTTAATTTTTTTTTTTTTCCCTTTTCCTTGTGCTGGGGATCAAACTCAGGACCTTGCCCTTGAGAGGCAGGCGTGGCACCACTGAGCTAAATCCCTGGCCCCGAGTTTCACTTTTAATTTTTCTTTTGAGATAGGGTCTTATTAAGTCAGTAAGTTGCCCTGGCTGGGTTCAAACTTGGAGTCATCCTGCCTCAGCCTTCTGAAGTGTTGGGATTACAGGTGGGCTCCATTTTTTTCTTCTATATGCTAAAAGCCCCATATTTTGAACACTTTCCGATATGTCCTGCTCTGTTTTCAGACTCTTCACTTCAAAATAGTTTTAAATTTCTGATTTGTTCATTTTTTTATAATCATGTTAAATAATTCAAAGTATGTCATTTAATTTCTAAATATCTAGGGGTTTTCTTAGTTTTGATTTTGATTTGTAGCTTAATCTTATGTGGTTTGAAAATACAACCCAATCTCACTGGCTTGGGAAATTGTGATTTGCTTTATATTCCTGCCTATGATTGATACTGATGCATGTTTCATGTCCACTTAAGAGAACATGTGTTCCACAGTTGACGAGTGTAGTGTTCTCTGTATCTCAGGTCAAGCGTTGCTCACATGTTCTGAATCCCTGCCGGCATTTAGCCATCTTACTCTCTGAAATATAGAATGGTGGTTTCTGAATCTGACTGTAAATTCCCTTTCTCCTTTTAAAGCTACCTAGCTCTTGCTTTGTGTACCTTAGAGCTATGTTATTTGGTGCCTACATGTGTAGATTTATTACCTTTTTTCTCGATGAATTAACTCTTATCTTTATGAAATGTTCCTTATTATCTCTGGCAATCTTTGTCTTAAAAGCTACTTTGATTGATACTAATATAACCACAATAGTTTTCAGAGGCTTGTTATATCATTTCCCATCTTTTTATCACATCTGTGTTCTTAGAATGTGTCTGATGTAAATAGTTTATAGTTGTTTCTTGATCTTCATTTATTTTGCCTTTCTGATATTAATCTCCCAATTAAGGAGGTAATAATCTGTAAACAGAGCCTTTTTTAAACAAGCCCAGCTGTGCATCTTCTGCTGAGTAAACAGCCTGGTGAAAGGTGGTTAATTGGGCTTTCTGAATTAGTTTTTCTTTCAAGATCCACCTATACTTTTTATTTTTGGCCTCAGTAAAACTTGGTCGTGATAACTTTGTAAAATAATTTTTTACTAAAGCTTTAAAAAACTATTTATGGCAGCAGGAAAAATTTTATGAAATTTGGAAGATTTCTACTTTTCTAAATATTTTCTGAGAGTGTTAATTACACATGTAATCTGAGAGGTCTCTCTCTGTTCCTCTTCTATTTACTTGTCATATATCCTGAGTATATTTCCCACCAGAAGAATATGGAAACTTTCCCTTCTTTCCCTTAGGTCTGGAGTTTGGAGGGAGTTGGTCAGTCTTCCCGCTCTGGCATTGGTCACCCTTGTCACCTAAGCAAGTTTCCATCCTTGTTCTGCTTATTTTCTTTTTTCTCCTTCCCAAGCATCTTTTCTAAAATGCATCTCTACATTATTGTATTTGTATGAGCTCCTGTGAATGTGCCTTACATGCAGTATTTTAAATACACATAAATTCCATTATATATCTTTTCGGTGGGGAGGAGTCATGCTGGGTATTGACCCCAGGGCCTTGGGCCTTCAAGTCAAGTGGTCTGCCCCTGAGCTATTCCTCCTCCCTTAGAACTTTTCCCTGGTATGCCATGTTTTTATATGTTTGTGTGTGCCTCTTCTAATATGCTGCTTCCAACAGTGCAGCTTTTTTATTTTCAAATTAGAACTGTCATAAATGTTCTGTTTATTTGGGAAGTTAGAATTTGCCACAAGGTGCTTTTCTCTGTTCAGAAGCATAGCACTCTGGTGCTTTATTAATTAGTAAAAATACCTTAAACTCTAGTCCTGCTGTTCAGAGGGCTAGTTTAGTCAGACTACGAAAATGGAAAGCTGCCACTTTCTTGTGAGTCTTTAAGATAAAAGTGAATCTGGGGCTGGAGACTTAGCTCAGTGGTTCCGCTGCCTGCCTTGCAAGCACATGGACACGAGTTCAATCCCCAGTACCGAAAAAAAAAAAAAAAAGATAAAAGTGAATCTTACCCAGAAGTGACCAGTCCTCCCGCTCCTAGAATCAACTCCCTGGGGACCATGTCCCTGTGCCCCTTGCCCTTCTTGCACCTTCAGTTAGTTAGTTTTATTTTTTGTAAAATTGTGCGGCATCATCTCCTAGTACAAGTGTTAAAGCTTTACAGCCCCTGTGCTATACTAACAGCCCAGAACAGCTCTTTCCAAGGGATCTCCTGTCAGCCAGCTTGACTGAGGTTTCTGTGTGAAGGCACCTGGGTGGTGTTCAGACTTCTTATGTAGCAAAATGGCAGGAATGGCAAACAGGAAGCCTTTGACTACAAGGTACAGAGCCCCAATTCGAACTGGCTTCCGCAATAGGTGTGTGTGTATTGCATTGCTCTGTTAGCAGAATAATCAGTGTTAGCACTGCAGCAGGTGAACCTTGACTTGTGAGAGGCTTGGTGCAGTCAAGCATATTGCTTGGCCCTGCACAGTTTGCTTGGGGTTGGCAACTCTGCTGAGCAGAGTCAGAGGCTCTGATAGCCCAGTGCTTCCTTCTTGTCACCCCGGTCTATGACACAGGCTGATGGCATTGCCCCAGCTAGGGGAGAGGTTAGTCGATCCCACAGGTTGTTTTCTGGACCAGACTTGGGATTGACTTCTGACTTCTGCCCAGCTCCACTGCCCGGAAAGCAGTATGAGTCAGTGACCCCTTCTTCACCAGTAGGGATGCTGAGAACTGGAGCCTGACTGTGAGTGAGCTTAGAAAGAGGCAGGAGCTACACTCAGAACAGTAAACTGAGGTGGGAGCATGTGCACCTTGGGGACTCGGTGGTGTCGCCTGGCCCTGTCTATCCGTCTCTCTCCACCTTGACATCTTTGTGCTCAGGCTGGCTCTCCTGAGGGGAGAGATGGCTGCTGTAGTCACGTCCTCAGCCTGGCGATGCTCTGAGGAGGAGGAGGCGGAGGAGGAGGAGGAAGGAGGAGGAGGAGGACCGTCCTTAAGAAAGAGGGGACCTTTCGCAGAAGCAGCTCTGCACACTGCATCTGAGGGCCAGAATTGCTGATACCCAAACTCAGCACCAGTCCCAGTTTAACGCGGCCTTGGGACAGGGTGAGCCTTCGTTTAGTCCCGGGGGAAGACCTGGCCACTGTCTGAGACAAGCTGAGGCTCAGTCAGCGAGGAAGGGCAGAGGACGTGTTGAGCAGCCTCATGTCACCAGGCTCCGGCCACACTGACCTCAGTCTTCGTGGGGTCCTGCCCCATTCTCAGGGATTTTGTGTTACCTTTTCACACTAGTAACGTTATTTTCCATTATATTTGCTTGAATATAGGAAAGCTATTGTTTTTTGGTGTTTTTTTTTTTTTTGAGTCATTGCTATTCTTTTATCTGTGTGTGTATAAATTATTTTAGATTTTTTGGAGCAGTATTAGATGTTCATTAAGTACAGAAACCCGGAGATAGAAGGATCTTCAGTGGAATAGGATGGTGTGAAAGAATGAGGGCAAAGAATATTATATTTAATATCTGTGAAGCAGAGGTGTATCTCATTGCCTGGGGAGGGAGTAGCAGTGTGTTTTCCACCACACTTGCTCTCAGGGACTGTGGTAGTGCAGTCTGTAGGGGAGGGAGTCATGAGTAATATGCAGCATCTCTTAAGGACATCTGAGTGCTGTAGTGAGCTCTCTTCCCCACCTCTCTGAGAACAAGAGATGTGTGGTTGATTTTCTTATGGGGAAAACTTAAGCAACAAAAATGAATCTATTTGAACATCCTTACATAATTAGAGTCCTAAGCAAAATAGAGTAGAGGTCCTTAGGTCAGTATTCATGCACTGGGTGTTGCCGGGAAACTGTGCCTGCCGTGAGCTACGCCTTCTCTTGTGTAGCTGTTAAAGGAGTTCAGCAACCCAGAATATGCCCAGTCCCTCTCCCTTTCTCTGTACACACGCACACACACGCACACACACAGCACAAGACACTCTGAGGCCATATTGATTTTTTAAAAGAAGGAAAAGCATTGCTGTGCTTTCAGATTGGTGAGGTGGATCTATAACTTTTCTGAGGTATGGATTAGCTTTCTTGTGTCTGAGTTTGCCATTACACGAAAAGACCAGCGGACTCGTGACGGGCTGTGATGTGGCCAAGAACCCAGGTCTGCGCTCTGGGAACCATGTGGGACGGACACTGCTGTGCCGCTCCGATCCGCTGCCACAGCGGCGACATTGCCCCTGACACCGAGGAGCTCGGGACCTTGAGACATCAGGGGCACGTGTCGCAAAACATCCCATTTCAAGGGGGAGCCAGCTTAGAAATGAGCTGGACTTGCTAATTTTCAGAAGGTTTCTTTATGTAAAATATGCTTTTGATATGCACATGAAGAACCACATAGTCGTCGACAGTTATATTCGTGTTTTCATTAAACATCAAATTTTACTGACGTATGCAGACCCCTGCAGTGATCTGTGGAGCAAACCAAGCTCATCTGCCTGCTTAAAAAGGGGACGCGATTTAACAGTGATGGAAGGAGAGGGCTTCGTGGGTTGGGTGAGTCCCCAAAACCGTGTCTCTTCTCTCCTGTTCCTCCCATTTGTCACAGAGCTGTGCCGCAGTGCACTGTAATTATTTTCATACACTGGGTCTCTTCTACAACAGGTGCTGCCTTCCCGGAAAGCCTGAGGAATAGAGAAGCGATGATATTCGTAGTTTACATAACGCACAAGCCTGC